TGTCGTGGCGGCTCCGTGGGCCTCGCAGGGCCCGTTGGTGATGTTCACCACTATCCGTTGCTGATGTCCACAGGGCCTGGTCCTCCACGCTCCAGTCCCGTTCTGGGACAGGCCCTTTGTGCCTTCTTTGCCAATTAATAACAACGGCTGTCATGTGCCTGCCAAGCGATGTTTCTTTTGCCTTTTCTAATTTCGGCGTTGCAGAGGCTGCTAATGTGATGTTTTTTCTTGCCTCCTATCTCAAACTAGAAAGGTGTGACTCAGGTGCAGTTCCCCCCCGCCAAAAACAGAAGAGAAAACAACGGCGCAGTAAGGGTTTGAGTTTGAAAATGCACGTCAGCAGAAGGCCTGAAACTGTCGAATGTATGGCCCCTGTGCAAGGATGACACACATAAATCGAGAAATGGTCCAAAAAAAAAAAAAAAAAAAAAGGAAAAAAACAAAGGCCTGAAATTGAAGAATGTATACAAGCCAGCGTCTTCAGAGTCCCGTGGGTTCACATGGGGATGTGTTATGTTCAGGGCATTGCATGAAGTGCATTTCCAAACTGTTTCCGTGATTGTGCCACAGTGAGCAGAAGAAGGATTGCAGTCGCCTAAACAGTCGTGGAATGAGTTTTGCCTGGCCAGAGAGCCTCGCTTAGCTCATAATAGCTGCGAGGACTCTCATAAGCCCCGTTCCCAGCTTTCATATTAATCTTTCCCCCCAGGTCGCGGCCGGGTCCGGCCTGGACCGCGACCGGGCCAGCCGCGAATTTTCGGCCAAGGCCGCGACGGATTGGGGAGGCGGTTTTGGGAGCGGGAGCGGGTTTACAGTGGGGGGGGGGGGTGGCACCCCCTCGAAGTGGCAGACCGCCGAAAAAATAAAAAACGGGGGTCTCTCTCTCTCTCTTTCTCTCTCTCTCTCTCTCTCTCTCTCTCTCTCTCTCTCTCTCTCTCTCTCTCTCACCAGGTACTCCCTCTCTCGCTCTCTCTCTCTGAGCGTGCGAGCAGGCAGGGCGGCAGCCTAAAGGCAACAGCAAGAACTGTTGCCGTTTCAGATAAATGGCAGCATTTATCTGAAACGGCAACAGATTTGCCGTGGCCTGGGCCTGGACCCACTGCCCCCCACACCCAGTGGCCACACAGTGCCCCCACCCAGTGGCACTGAAACAGGGCCGAAACGGCCCGCGGGCCCTTTTTTTTTTTTTTTTTTGGTTCCGTTTTTTTTTTTTCCGCGCGTCGTGGAATGTCCGGAAAAAAAAAATATGGGCATGTAGGGCATTTTCAGCCCTACAAGCCCATTTTTTTATTTATTTTTTTCCGGCGTGAAAAATCGAAAAAAAAATTGTTGCACCGAACTCGGCTGGTCGGCCGTGGCCGAACCCGGCCAATTTGGCCGACGGCCGAGGCCGCGGCCGACTTGACCCCCCCGGCCGCGGCCGGGCGTGCAACATCCTTTTTCAAGAAAACAAGGGAAAAAAAAAAAAAAAGAACTACAGGGCTTCATCTGCTAGACAAATGGATGACTTCGGCTGTGCTTCTTGACTAGCCATTCTGTCTGTGCTTCTTGAGGAGCATCCTTCACTTTGCTGCCTTGGCACGAGTGACAGCACTATTCGATATATCAGTGGCTGCACGAGTGACAACACTATTGGATATATCAGTGGCTGCACGAGTGACAGCACGATTCGATATATCAGTGGCTGCACGAGTGACAGCACGATTCTATGTGTCAGTGGCTGGACGAGGGTTGTACAACTTGTAGTCCTGGATGGGTGACAGCGTCGTCTAATTCGTTGTCCTGGGAGAAAGCATCGTCCAATTCCACAGCTCACACGGCCTACTTCTTAATATTTGATACGTGGTTGGATGATTGGGAATAGGAATTTGCTTTTGCTTTCTGATTTATTATTATTATTATTTTTTTCTTTTCTAGGCTACCAGAGTGGCCCCGGGGTCTATCAGTTTTCTCAACGCTGAGCTTTTTATCACGTGCGGCATGGTGGGACGGAGCTCTGCCTTTGATGTATTGCGATCTAATGGTACCGAAATACAGGAGAATAACCTATTAGATTTTGCCTTTTTGTAGAATTTTTCTTTGACCTGAAAACCGTTTTGTAGTATGCTTTGGCCCTTTTGGTTTGGGCGGGAAACCATTTTGCAATGAGAAAACTACCCTACCGAGGGTAGGGTACATTTCTCAACGGCCGTGGTTTTGAGACATCATTACATCCTGAAACGGAGGAACTCTGACAGCTGTGTTTGGCTCTCTGGCATCAAACTCTTTTCGTTCTTTGGGCAATGAATGCATTTGGCCATCCACGTTGTCCCTGTCCATTTTACAAATGGTGACCTCCTGTCCCCTCACCACGGGGAGTACCCCTTTTTCACGGAGACAGTGACTCCGACTGTTCCAGATATGTTTCATTTCTCCGAGTTCCGTTATCAAAAATAAAGGGGATAACTGCTCGGACTGCTCCTGGGTCACACTTTAAGTTTAAACCGGCCAGAAAAACACTTAATGGCAACATCCTCGTCGTCCAAGTTCAAATCGGCAAAAAAAACATCAATTTTTTTTTTTTTTTTTTAAATCAAAATAGGCTACCAGAGTGGCCCGGGGTCATTTGCCAGGCCAGGCCAAAAAGATTTAAAAAAATAAAAAAAATAAAAATAAAAAAAAAATAATAAAAATTATATTTTAAATTTCGTAAAGAATTTCGATGTGGCCCTGAGGCAAAAGTTGTTCAGTTTATTTTTCTTCATAACATAGTTGTTTTTCGGATTTTTTGGATTTTTTTTTTTTTTTGCTGGGACCCTCCCTTGTCCTTGCACGGGCTGGCCACCCGGGACCCGGGCGGCCCGGCTGGTAGCCTAAAATGTCAGTTTGTTTGTTTTTTTAATCAAAAAACTTTTTTTTTTTTT